GTTTATCATGGATGCTGTGTCACCTTTAGGATCAAAGAGCTTAATTCCTAAGTGTTAAGATGGTTGTGGGCACACAGTTCTCAGTTATGTCAATTTCTACTTAGCAGTTGCTCTGTTGAAGAAAGCAGTCTTCCGTAAGGTCAGTCATACATCTCTTTTAGGGACAGTGGAAGAGTACAGGCCTGGTCCCTTTCCTTCGACCTGGAACAACTGTGAAAGGACTATCCTAAATTCATAGCTTCTTATGGGGGTCAGCTAGTGTGACATTGTTTGTTTTGTTGTTGTTCATACCTCTTAATTGGGGGCCAGCTAGTGTGATATGGGTTTTTGTTGTTCATACCTCTTAATCATTCTCACACTAGTATTATAATCTCTGAGAATATGTACAATTAGCCAGAAAGAGTGTTTGTCCTGAATTTATAGGATTCAACTTACTTTAAGAGAAAATGAGGTAATGTGATATATCATACCCTCTAAAGGTACAGGGGAATAAATGCTTACTGCAACTGTATCACAGTCCTTCCTTCTTTACGTGCCTCATGAATGTGGATACCAAGAATAAATAGTATCCTTCTTAGTTTTTTTGTAAAAATTGAGAAGTTGAAGTCAGGGCCTTTGAGCTACATCCTTAGCCCTTTTAAACTTTTTCTTTTCTTTTCTTTCTTTCTTTTTTTTCTGAGATACAGTCTTACTAAGTTACTCAGTTGCACATACTGGGCTCTTCCTTGAGATCCTCTTCCCTGAGCTTCCCAGAGTGCTGAAGCAATAGTTAAATGATACCACACCTATCTTACATGTCAGAATTTGTACCAAAGGGAAGTCAAGCTATGTTTTAGAGCTATTTATATTTAAAATGTGTTCCAGGTTGCACAGTGTTTTAGAGCCACTAAGATGCCACCTACTCCTGTGAGTGCATAGAAATACCTTTTCTTAACATATTCATATCTGTAGGTGATGCCATAATACATGTGTAGGGAAAATACACAAGGACAAAAGGGCCTTACCCTTGGGAATTGCACTTAACTTAGTGGGAGCTGGAAAACTATGAATATGGGAAAACTACTGCTACTTGGTGACAAAAAGCATTTTTCTGTTTTTCCTCACACCATTAAGATCTGCAATACTATGAACTGAAATGCTTCAGTGTTCTCTTGCCCACCATTGGTTACACTGGCAATAGCCATTTCAGTGCTAGGACATCAAAACATTTCAGCCTCCCTCCGTTGCCTCAGTGTTGAGCATGAGACACCTGAGTTTTGGACAAAAGATGTTTCTGGCTGTAGAAGTCAATGATCCTGTTGGTTCAAGTAGATCAACCTTTGTTCATTGACCCTTTTGGTGACCAAACAACTCATGCTTGCAGAGGAATGTGATGTTGCTTTTTTCTTTTTGGGGACCCGAAGTCAGGCCAGTATCACCTAGGCTGACCTGGCACCAGGAAGGTGTACATGCTAAAAAAAAGGAAAGTGTGTTTTTTCAGCCTTGGTACACAAGAATAGAATTGCCTAGGGCTGGGGAGATAGTTCAGTAGAATGGTGGCTGTGAGGATTTTAAAAGTGTCCAAAGCCATCTGAGGTAAGGCCTAAATTAAGGTGAGTCTTCCATAGTATATTACGGAAGAGTTGGGACATGTAAGGCCCTGTTTTGACAATAGGAACAAATAACACAATACCTACAAATACTAATGCTCAGTGCATGTCTGTTGAGTGCATAGTCGCTGCTAAATGTTGGTAATAAAGACATCAACAAGACAGGCTCAGCCTTTTTGTCCTTAGAGAACTTAAGAGTCTGGTGGGAAGAAGACAGTAATAATACCTATAACAAGGAGAGCTACCACAGCCTAGCCTCAGGAAAGAAAAGAAAGACAGTTTGGGAGTAAGGGTATTATCCTTATGAGGAATTGGTACTGTTATTGTTGCTTCTCATACTTCTTAATTGTTTTTTTTTCTTTCTGTACTTGAGATTGGATCAAAGCCTTCATACTAAGCTAAATTCCCTTCCCTTTTTTCCTTTTTATTTAAGACAGGATGTTGTTAAGTTCTCCAGGCTGATCTCCAACTTACAGTTCTCCTACCTGACTCCCAGTGTTGGGATTACAGGCATGCATACCACACCCTGCTAATGTCATAGTCCTTAAGTATGTACCTTATTACTTGGGAAAAATGATAGTGGCTGGTGATATCTGCTTTTGTAATTTTATTTTATAGTGCTCTTTCTTCAAAGAAAATGAAGTAAAGGTATATATTTAGTTGTTGAAAGATTCAGGGGGTGGGGGCGAAGAAAGACACATGACATATTAGCCAACATTTAATAAATTTAATAAGTTAATAGGAAGTATCACAAAAACCTGCAGTGGATAACACACAGGAATCAAGAATAAGATAATACTTTGCAACCATTCACAAAAAGTACCATATGACAAAGAAGAATTACAGGAAATAATATAAGGCAGTCTGTTGCACGTGTCTTAAACAGATACATATATAGAATAGTACATCAAAATGATTTGTTTGACAGTAAATTCACCATGTTTACATTTATCACATGGACTTTTTAAAACATTTATAAAAGTTTGTCAATTTAACACTGAACTGTTAGATTTATATCCAAATGAGTATATTTGTTTCATACCAAACTGCACAGAACTTACGAATAGCACACAATTTGAGAATAATTACTGTGTTGGGTACTATTAAGTACTACTACTTGATGACATAAGAATTATCAACAAATGTGCTATAAGCTATTATCATTCTTCTTGTTGCTAGTGCTTTTGGAAATCCATGGCTGATACTTTACTTCTCTGTAAAACATGTGCTATGAGCTTGCCCTGATAGTTAAGAAATCAGATGTTTCCAATTTTCTCTAATACTCATAATGCTTCAGATCTGATTGTGCGGTCTTTTACAGGACTGCTGAGGGATTTTCTTCAGTCCTTTTCATACCAGCTACTCTGCCGTACATTAACACAAATCAATGGATTCATACAACATACGTGGTGTACATGCAGGACACCCTCTGTATGTGTAGAACTCATGCTAAGTGCATGCTGTGTTTCTTCAGACATTTTCATTTCATTGAGAATTAGATCGCCTCATTCAATTTCAGATAATTGTTTTAACATGCAGCTCAACTGACCTAACAGGCAGGTAGACTTTACTTTTCATGTTATATTTGGGCATGCTCAAGCAATTGGCTGGCTATTTGGCAGTGTTGTAAATCCCATAGAGACTGTATGAGTTGCCTCAAGTACAGCCGCTCTCCCACTGCCCATGTGGCAGACTATTAAATTTATCTATGCTGCGTGTTGAGAACACCGACCAAGGTTTTGACCATTTAGATTCTGTAGTCACTAAATTTAAGATACTACGAGGAACACTATGAAGTGTGTAAGTAACTGTCAGGTGTAAGAAACAGCATCATGAATTCTTCAGAAATTTTATCCACAGTTGTGTGAAATGCACACACATGGAACACTGGAAACACATGTATACTCTGCAAACAGCATAGATTTGATGGTCTTACTTTAGCAGTGCTTGAAAACCTTTCATGGTTTACAAACTACTAAAATGACACTGAATTCTCAGAGAGCAGGTGATACTGAATTCTTGGAGAGCAGCGGGCCTGCAAATTACACAATGGCCAATACTTATTTTAACACAACACTATATTTAACAAAGATTTAAATTTCTAATATGTAATTGCAGTACAATGAAGAGCTTGCCACTTTTCACAAATTAGCTGCAGCCTTTTCCTGCACTAGAGAGTTTGGAAGGATCTGAAAATGAGATAAATTTTGTTTAAAATTCATATGGAAACTCTGTATTTCTCTTATTCCCAGAGTTCAATAAAAGTGGTTTTTAAATTTCTTCCTTTTTCCACATTCTAAGGGCCTAATTCAGTAGTCCTTAATCAAGTAAAACTTCCACAGTTTTTGTCTTCTACACATCCTACACAAGTTTTACTAAAAAATGGACTGCTAAATTGGGTCCTATAGACAGAGGTACCATAATTAAGAAAATATTTTAATAAGGCTCAAAATACTAATTTTAATTTGTGTGCAGCACACTGATTTCCAGAATTCTTAGATCAAGATCCAATTGATGTTGAATCCTGGATTGGGAAATAACTCTGAGATCTCACTTTCCCGGCTTAATCAAGGAATTAGGTATTTACTAAGGACCAGAATGAAAACACTAATTCCAGTTTGCTTATAATAATAATAATAATAATAATCATCATCAGAATTTGAACATTGTCTTTAAGAAGTGAAAAGCTGTTTGTTAAATATCTTTGTTATCCTTCCACTTCTGTAGTCCTGGTTAACCAGCTGCTATGTTAAGGTACCACTATGTTTGGGGACAGACATTGCAGCAAAATACCAATACAACACTCACAATGTCAAATTTTGTCCCTATAAGTAACGACAAAGTGAAGTTCTGCCTTTGACGCACAGATGGATGTTTCACGAGGCAGAGCCTAGCTTACTGTGGCTACGTGTGTACATGAGCAGAGCAAGAATGTAAAGTGCATATTTACTGTTAACCTGGACAAAGATTCCACAGAATTTGTCAATTTAGGTGTGGTCGCAATATAACCACTGTGATGTGCGTCATTCTGGTCTCCTGCAAATGCCACCTGAGATGAACATTAACATTTTGGAGGGAGAAGGAGGAGGAGAGGGAGTGGGAGAGAGAAATAGGGGTGGGTTAGGGAGAGATGGACAAGGGAGAGAGGGGTGGGGGACAGCAGGGAAAGGCATAAAAACATAAACACTTTATCCATCAAAGAATCAAAATATCTTAGTCTCCATCTATTATAAACAGTAAATATAGAATCTTAAATCTCACTATTATAAGCATGATTGTAAAGTACAGGGTTGCAAAGCTATATATAAAAACATTGTTTCTGGCAGCAATATTTACAGGAAGTTGTGACCACCAGAGATGTTATAGATTTGCCTACCAGTGTGGCTTCCCTCGAAGAAGATTGTGCTGCTCTTACACACTGCTAATCCTTTCGCTAACCACATTAGAAGGGTTTACCGGTAGCTCCAAATTTTCCACTTGCATCTCTATACCGGGCTCACTGTCATCAGCCTTTCTAATCACAGGCTCATTGGTGTGCCGATAAATGTTAACGTTAAGCTCCCTGCCAGACAAAACAGTAGCCGCAACTCTAGGGATCTGCCTGACAGGTGGCTTTTTCTGCGGCTTATAGTTGCAGCGCAAATAGTTGGAGAAAGCCCTGCGGTAAATTTTGTTGAAGAGCGTGTACACCAGAGGATTAATTCCCGAGCAAACATAGCCAATCCAAACAAACACATTCAGAAGCTTTTCCATGAGCTTTTGATTACAGGATTTCCCACACAGAACTGACAGAATATTGGTAATGAAAAACGGGCACCACATAACCAGAAACACAAAGAACACAATGCCAAGAACTTTTGACGCTTTCTTTTCGTTGTTGATAGCCTGCATGGTGCCCCGAGGACGTTTTCCCTTCTTCTTTCTTGGGCGCTGGTTCCCATCTTGGTTGGGGTTTGCTGGATCCTCTTCATCGGCAGTATTCCTCTGGCAGCACTTCAGAAAATTCAGGCTTGGGCCCAGCGGTTCGTCGGTGTGGCCTCGCAGCAACATCAAGGCTTGTCTGCGCAGGACGTAGATGGTCAGGAAATACGTGATCACCATGATGGTCAGAGGGATGAAGAACGCCACGAAGGATCCGATCAGCACGAAATTCGGGTCGTTGAGCACGCACGTGGTGTTGTCCACGAACACTTTGTCTTCATCCCTCAATCCAATCACTGGGATCGGCACTGACACACCTAGAAGAATAAGGTGCGACAGTTACAGCACATGGGAGGACTGGGAGGATTTGCATAATGCCATGCATTTCTTTGCATTTTACTGAAGGCAAGTTAGACTTGATGTTTGTTGAAAGCTATTCATGGCATAGTTGATAGTCACATGATACAGCAGCAGTATGATAAAAGAAAATGGTGACTCTTTTCCTCTTAAGAATGTCTTCTCTCTACATTTCTGAACAAAGTATATAATCACCATTACTGTCACATTAGAGATCTGGTTGTACCTGACAATGGATTGAGTTTATTTTGCCATGTTTCCAGTTCCTAGAATTGTCCCAGCACACAGAAAGAACACAAGAAATATTTTTTGAATCAAAGAATACACTTACATCTTTCTTTAATGATATTACTAAAGATATTTTTTAGCAAAAGTCTTCCAAATTAAAAAAAAGAAAGATCCCCAAATCACCTCTAATAGTAATAACAGCTGATGAAGGTTAACTGGGCTATGTCCAACAGTTATGCAAAAATAACCTATAATCAGAAACTGAAAGGGTTCTTATTAGCAAAATTTATTTTTATTTGTGTATTTATTTTGTCTCGGCATAAGCAACACTTAACCTGTTTCAACATCAAGAGACATAAAGAAGGACAGGGTAAGCTCAGCAGTAGGGCAAGTGGGGGAACAGGAGGCACTGGGTTTCATTCTCAGGAGGCAGAAGAAAAGAACAGAACAGAACAGAACAGAACAGAACAGAACAGAACAGAACAGAACAGAAAATACTAAAAAATTAATGGGGGGGCAGTAGTGAAATGGTGAATTGGGAAATAGTTGTCCTATTTTAATGTGTAATTTTGAGCATTTTGTTTCTTGTTTTGTTTTCGAATATTGATGAAGCTCTTCTTTCAGTAAATAGGCTCAGGGGAAAATTTTTTGAGGAGGTAGAAGCTGATCTTGTCCAAGCCTGTCTTGAAACCTCTTGGAAACTTCTAGAAGTGACTATGGTAGACAATGAACAGTTCAATAAGCATCATTAAATAGGGATGACTTGGAAATGAAATTCACATATTTCTTTTTGAAATTCATATTTTTATGTTAGTTTATCCCCTCTTGTGTTCATTGGAAGTTGAAGTTTCCATACAATCAGATTACCCTGTGGAGTCCATCAGAGATGACTGGGAATTCTGGGATGGTGGGCAGCCACAACGTGAACTGGGAGAGGAGATGGAAGTGAGCTGTCAAGCTGTTACTGATCTTTGCTGACTTTAGGGAACACATAAGGAACTGTGTGAAGAACTTGGCACGGATTGAAAGCCCCTACTTGGCATTTGAACTCCTAGTCCAATACAGTGTTTGGTTGGATGATCAAGAAAAAGTAATGGTCAATATTTGTTTGCTAAAGCTTGCTGAGGGTGTTGATTGCTGTTTAATCTTTGTGAAGATATAAGGAAGAATGTTTGGAAAATGACCTTTAAGTCTTCTTCAGACCCTGAATTTCTAATATGAAGGGTCTTTTTCTAGAGAAAGGCCAAGTGACTGTGAGAAACAGCAACAGATTTGACAAAATTCCTTTGAGTGTTGCTACATGCCTTGCCACAACTCTGAATTTAGGTGTCATGTTCAAGAAAGTAAGAAAAATGAAGCAATACATAGGTACACCATAGATGGAAAGTCTCCTCAAGCAAGGTACTGGTCCACCATTGTAAGGAGACCTTTGAGCTCTGATTGAGAAGTGACCAGGGTCAGAAGGCAAAGAAAGAAGCTAATTTCTGTTCATGCTTGAGTGAAATGCTTAGAACTTCCACACGTCCTTGGAGTATAGCAGAAATACATGGCTTATATTTCTTAAGTGTCAAAAATGGCAGATGTTTTGAAAAGCTACCAGCTGGTACTGTAAGAATATATATTTTAAAAAGACCTAAAGAGAATATAAATCAAGATTGGTCCAGAGAAGTCAGTACTGGCTTATCCTTAATCAAATGGTTTAATGCAGGGTTATGTAGCTACAAGGGTTCAGGAGCCAAGGAAACTCATACAGGATTAAGAAAAGAAAGACAGAAAAAGAGATGGAGATACAGCTCAGTGGTAGAGCACTTGTTTACCATGCATGGACCTTGGGTGTGTTTCCGGCACTGAAAAAAATGGAGAAAAAGGTCTCATATAAAAATTTTTGGGTCAGGGAGACAGCTCAGTGGCATAAGTGCCTAACTGGCATGCTCAAGGTCCCAAGTTCAATCCATGGTACCAAAAAACCACCCCCCAAAATAAAAAATAAAAACTTTTACAAGAAAAAAAAAATTTCAAAGGGAGACACTACAAATCAAGATGCACTTAGAGCTCTCAAATAATCATACCATGTGGACCAGCTTGGACTCTTTATGCAAACAAATTTTCAACAATATTAATCATACAATTAGAGATTTGAACAATGTCTGGCTTTTCAGTGTTATCAAACCATGGTTGCACATTTTTTTTCAGGTGATATGCTGATACTGTGCTTCTGTAGAAAACCAGGTTTTATATTTTCAGACAAACATCCTGAAATGTAAGAATGAAGTATTATCATATGGGGAATTTATTTCAAATAATATGGAAGGAAGAAGTGTAAGAAAATATGGATGAAAGAAGACAGTCCATAAATTGATAAATACTGGAGCTGGATGATGAGTACATTGTGTTTTATAAAGTAATTTTACTTTTATTTTCTTTGACAGCTTTCATTTAAAATGTTTAATAATTTTAGGGAATTAAAAAAAATAAAGACAAGATGTAGAAATGCTTTCTGCAATAAACTAAAGCATGTCCACTAAGATTTCAGATAGATAAAAACATCTCCAAGATTTTGCAAGTGATGACTTCTAGTGCAAACAGTCTAGTGGAAACACTTAGCATGTTGGTACAACTGCAGAGAAAACAACTATTTTCTGCTAAAATGTTGATAGGAACTCTTCCATTTTCCCAGAGTGCACCAGCAAGAGCAGCAGAAAGCCCAGCGTAGGTGAAGAAAGAGTAATTGTAATAGTTCACATTTATTGAGTTTATCATCTGTGTCAGGAATTGAGTTATGTGAATTATGGACAATTCAGTTTTAAAACATGTTGCCTTAATTTGGTTAAAAACTCCGTGGAACAGATGTTATTAGGCCAAGTATTTTAACCACTTTACCAAATTTGTACCATCATACATTTTGTTTCAAAAACCATGAATGCAGTCAACAAACAAGAAATTCCGTTGTTTTTTAGAATGCCAGATTATAGCGATCAGTATTAATAGCAATATATCATTCACAGACTATCTTATCCAATACTTTAAAAAATTCAAAAGTGTCAACACTTCTCAAAGTGTGGTTCAAGGACCTTGGCAAACTCATGACTCTTAGAATTTTAGGTTTTCCTTTTTCAACTATTTGTCCTTAAAGTTAATTTTTTCATAAATGTCAAGTCAAACTGTAGTTGAATGTTTACATATATGACTATCTAGCTATCAATACATCAAATTAAACATTAAATTTTCAGAGCTATAAAATATTGCCTGTCTTCTTTCTGATTTTTTTTTTTGAAATTATATCCTGGTTCCGCCAAAAAAAAAAAAAGAAATTATAGTTACCTTTTGTAAAAATGTTTCTTATGCTAACACTGAATGGGCTTGTTGTCATTACTTAAAATGATTCATAAAATATTTTAAAATTTTAATTTCTAATGCCACAAATGTCATTAGTTACAACTCATTTAAACTAAAACTCTTTGGAGTCCTCAATTATTTCCAACTGTATAAAGGGGTCTTGACACCAGAGAATTTGAGAAATGTTGTTCTGTATTAAAGGATAAAATTACTTAGACTCTGAAGAGTTACTCTAGCAAATATCTATTTTTAGGTCAATTAGTAGTAATTCATGTGTTATGATAGTGTCAGATAAATTTAACCAACATCAGTTCTAGCAACAAACCACTTTAAATGGATTATCTCATGCATTTTCATAAAAATTCTCAAAGTCATATATTATTTGGTGAAGTTAACTTCACAAAAGTTATGCAGATTTAGTAAACATAGTGAGACTGTCTTTGATATTTTTGAAATCTTTAATTTGGCCAAGAAAGAAAATGGAAATAAACTGCATCTGAAAATGTCAACTGCAAGTATTACAAGAATAGCTACATTTTACTGAGTGCTTCCTATTTGTCACACACTGAGTTAAGCATTTTACAATTGTTGTGTGCTTTCATGTCTCATATTTGTCAATCCAGATGAGAAAATACATAGACTTCTTAAGTGGAATTACTTAATGTTTCTGAAGTTAACTTTGATACATCTGTGTCATTTTCCTTTAAATTTCAGAAATAGCAAAGACCAGTTATAATTCACATTCTGCTCAAAATCTAAGCTACTACTTCACTATTAAGCAGTCAAGTATTTTGCATGCAACATTTCATCCAGTTCTTATAAAATCTTAAAAAAATGTTATTATTTATTAAAGTTACTTAAAGTCACAGAGAAAAACTATCTTTTTTTTGTGGCCAGCTCAGCCCACCCTGGTGGCAGGGCTAGTGTGGCATGTGGTGCCAGGGATTGAACCGCGGTCTCTGCGCTTTTGCCTAAGCTTGCCTTCGCAGGAGCTTTAGACCACTGAGCTATCTCGCCGGCCCCAGAAAAATTATCTTGAGTACACATATAATAACTTATTTAGCATCTACTTCAACTAATAAGCAGTCAAATATTTTGCATGCAACACTTCATCCAGTTCTTATAAAACATTAAGAAATTGTTATTATTTATTAAACTTAAAGTCAGAGAGAAAATTATCGTGAATACACATATAAAAACTTATTTAGCATTTGAGAAACACTGAATTCAGTAGCATATAACTCAAGTTGCACTGAAAAACATGTCACTGCTACTACTATTTTATTAAAAGTGATGAATGGTACTATAACAGCTACCACTTCTGCAATTACTGCTACTACTAATACTAACTCAGTGAGTGCTTATTATAAGTTCTTACTGACTCTGACACTTCACC